ACATTTGGGCAACAATCTAAAAATTCATCTCAGTTTTCTCCAGACGGCACGCCTCCAAAATTGCAAGCCCTCTCATCCTGCCATACATATCGTAAAATGGATGATGGTCTTTGAATCACCAGGAGGTTTACTGCAGTTTTCGGAGAGTGTGAGTGATAGAGATTGAACATAGGACCCTTGTCTGATGAGAATATCTTTAGTCCATAGGTCTATTGGTGCTGGATGAGAAGTAGGAAACCGTAGATTCTAAACAGAAATGGAATGATTCATGATTAGCAATTGATCCTTTAATGAAGAGTTTATCTCAAGCCGACTCACTCGCCATAGTCTTGGTTGAAAATGCCGATATATCTCACGTGAAGTAATTGAAAAGGTTTGAAAACTATTCAAGGTTGGCGAGTTTTGGTGTAAATAAGTCATGTATGGTTTCCGATCACCTGGACCTGTGATTTCTACTCTACTTTTGTTCTTTTTGTTATTGATTTCTTTAGTTTCTTGATTAGCTATACAATCAAGTGTCTCGAGCATCTTGTCAAATAGTTCGATAGGTAGACCCATGAGGCCAAGAGCTTGAGGACGCGATGTATGCTGTGATTCCTCATTTTTGATAACTTCTGATGAGAGTTCAACCTCTTGAAGACCACGAAATTCGAGCATTTTGTTGACAGGTGAGAAAAGACCACGTGAGGCCAAGTGGGTAGACCAATATAAAGAAAGATACCAGGCATCTATCCCCTTGATCAAATAAAACCTTTCGAGTCAAGTTACCCGAAGCGACTTCGAATGCAGTTTAGATGTTGGTTTATTCAGAACTGTGAAGCTCAGGTTATTGACCTTGTAATAAAAGCTAACACACTGATCAAAAGAGATGGACAATCTATTGAAATAGAGAATATTAAACCACATGAGTTTGATTTCGATAAAGAAAAGGAAACAACGAAATGAAGTAAAGGGGCCATTCAAAACTCGAACACAATGATGTCATCTCATTCAACACAGTATTGGATCACGTAAAGAAAGAGAAATGTATACGCTGAAAGGGCGGGCTCTTCTAAAGATCAAATGAGTAACTATCTCAATCACACAGATCCGTTGTACGATTTCATCACATGCAAAGTTATTCAAAGGATTCATTGGACACTAGGAGCACTAGGAGCAAGCTTCTAGATACGAGAATAGGTACAGGTGTCAGTGTGACGTAGCACTGTAAGCCATCACGTCGCGCGTGATTTACACCGCTGTGCTTGTTACCTTTTCCGAAATATTAAATCCCTCATTACCATCAATCTCGCGCCAAATTTCAAGCTGAGCTGTCCGATTCGACGATGGCATGTTGGTATGGATATTTGACGGTGTAATCGGTTGATATAGCTGAAAAGCTTTGAAGGACAACAAATTGTCTCTCGAAGATACATCCTGATGAAAGTTGATGGGGCTATCATAACGTTCGCTCGACTACTTTCTCGAATCTGGTACGTGATACAAAAGAAAGGTCATGAAGAATTTTGCCCTGCCTCCACTGAGAAAGCTCTCTATGCGCGTTTGTTAAACTAACAAATCTTTGGTTTCCCCATCAACTTCGTCATCTACCGATTTGATCTAGATATGAAGTATTGTCAAGGATCCTGTTAATATGTTCATCAGAGTAAAGAATAAAGAAGTTTAATCATCAGAAAAGAGTTTTTCAAAAGGACCATACAAGGTATCAATCGGTTTCAAAGCGCATGCCGAAGATTGGTTCATCCCACTTCACGCAAATGAATTCCAGCTTCTCGTGCACTACTAGCAACAAGCAATTTTCTTTTCATATTGATCAAATCTCTTGTCTATTAAAGAAAACACAAACAAAAACCAGAGAACTAGCATTTATCAAGTAAATCAAATAAACAAGGAATAATCCATCACATCATTCTAATCGAGAATGATAATAATATAACCTTTAATAAATACCAATGAATCGAGAAAAAAACAACACAGTCAGATCCTTTCAATAATCAAAGGTATCTTTTTTACAAAGACAAACTATGTAGCTTAAATTGTATCATCAAGAGATCAAAAAAAAATGAAATTTGCGTGTTCTTCAAGGATATAAAGAAAGAAATGAGAAAATGATAAAATAAGAAAAGGAAAACAACAAGTAGAACAAACAATGAAAAACAATGAAAAAAAAACGTGTTTATCGTTATAAATCAAAAAATGAAAAATGTTTGTTTCAACAACAAAAATCGAGCAAAGGTGAGTACGTAATAAAAGATAAACAGTCAAGTCATTTGGGGTTTTTCTATTCATCGGCTTCAACAATCTTAATTGAAGTTTGTGAAAGTGAAGGTGAATGAAGTTTGGATGTGACTTGTGCATCGTCCGCATCCACAAATACTTCTTGTTCCAAGAGAGTCGAACTAACAGAAACATGACTTGAAGATAACTCAGTTGAACCACGAACTCGAGTGGTCACTGAATCTTCTACAGTCCCTGGGGTAGAAGGTGTAGAAGAAACCTTTCGTCTGCGTGGTGGGATTGGTGGTAATTCAGGTCTTGGTTTGATCATTTCAAGTTCCTCATTGACTGAATTCAATGGAACCGCATGATCAGCGCTCAAACATCCACTGGCAGTCGCTTGCTGAGGAGTCTGTGGTAGACACAAAGGTAATGGTGGTAAGGTACGACGCCGGGCTGCCCGATCCGCATTGGTGAGTGTCAAGGGCGTAGATTTGACGATGGTCGCCTCCGTCGTACCCTCATCGACGACTTCTGTCCTTGCGCGTTGACGACTCTCTTGAACAGTCGAAACTCCACTTGATTTTTCGCTCGGTGCCACGTCTATGTCATCAGGTAGATCGTCGGGATCAACTGGCTTGCCTTCAGCCACCTCGATGGTTGAAATCAGGCCCAGTGCAGCCCGAGGAACAGCGACTGCTCCACCGTTAAAGAGTTGTTCAGCTCTAATCCGCCTTCCCATAAACTTGGTGTTCTCATCGGCCGACTGATAATGGGTAGAGGACATTATTAGGAACAGAGTAACTCTGAAGCTTAAATTAACTTTGCTCACCTCGAAAATGAACTATGATAGCAAATGCCATAGAGAAAGTAAAGAAATTACAGACTTGCTTTAGATAAGCAACTAAGTAGAAAGAATAGTGATTAATCGTTGAGTCTTACATTACCCTCAAGCTGCAGCCCACCGTAGATACCTTTAGACTTTGTATATGCAAAAGCAGGACTATCCGGAGAGACAGCCTCTAAATTTAGACTATTTCCGACAGGTCCCGCGACCACAGGAAGACTGATTCCTAAGGATACCTATGGGACGAAGATTGAGCTTTATGAATGTGACAATACTATGGACAAATCATGCATCCCAACCAGAAGAGAAGCTCAAGTTTGAACGGACCTTTGGGGTTGCAAATGCCATGACGGCTTCACGAGTTCGCAAGACCAAGACGACATCGTAAACATCAATACCAGCTAAGAAGTTAACACCGACAGTATGGATCAAGATTCCACTCGGTGGACCCCAAGTAGTTGGAGAATCCCTCGAAATAACAATTCCAGAACCAGAAGCAGCAGTCCAACCAGGTGAAGTACGAAAGACAGTGAAGATTGCTAAACCTTCGGCTTGTTGGATCACACTAACTGGAATCGTCTTGATTACCTTTTGCGTCTTTCGAAAGGAGTAGGAATCGTGTTCGATTGTAAGAGGTTGAGAACTTTGACGTTGGCTGAAGGTATATAAGATCCTTGCACACTTATCGCACTCTTTATCAAGAGAAGTAGGCCTGATGAACGAAATGTATGCGTATATATAAATATCACGATTTGAATCAAGTGTCATGTGCGAATGATTCTTCTTACCAGAATGCACTAAAGGATAGACAAGAAGGTGGAAATCCATAGCTTTCGAAATCAGTCTTTCGATTACTTCATCTTTGGATAACTTAGAAATTGAATCGATTGAATTCGAAGACTTTCCAAAACGTACACAGATTCTGAGCTAGTCTTATCCGCTTCTTTGTTAATCCAACTCCCCAAGACAGTAGATTTCTTCCACAACTAAGAATGAGATCATCAGATGCAAACAAAGTTAGTACAAGTAGCTCAAGTCGAGTTTATGAAAAGCTCTATAACATCACCAGATCACTAACCCAATCTAAACCAGTATTAGGTTTACTAGGATGACTAACTTTAGCCATCCCTCTTGCTTTTTCGATATGTTGTTGACGACGTAATTCAGCATCAGCATCGCCATCATGTTCTAATTGAAACCTTCTTGTGGTTTCAGTATTTCGCCTGAATTGATACATCGATTGAGGTCTGGTGGTGGCTGAGACGGAACCACTTCGTTGGAGTCGATGCTCGGTAGAGAAATTGAGAGGTTGAGTGTTCATGTTGTATGATATTTTGAGAGTAAAAGATCAAAAGGTTGTTTGTGATACAAAAGGTAAGATGAAGTGATAATTGAAAAGTGTTTATAAAAAGAAATCTTGAACTTTTTCCAACACTAATTTACAAATTTGGTTTCAATTTGATTTTCATATTTTTTTACTCAAACTGTATTTCACACATTTCAATTCAATTGATTCAATTTAATTTCAACTACAGCTGTTCCGACATTACAATTTGGTAAGTACATACTTGTCGCTCGCTTTTGTAGAAGAAAAAGTTTGCGAGCTCAAACCTCAGAACACGTTTGATAGCAATGATTTTCGATAATCGCACTCGAATTTCAAAGGAATCGCACTTGAAGAAAAGTTGTTTGGGAGCAATTTCCAGAGGAACGGAAGGCTTGAACGTGCGCATAGCAAGTCGTAGAAAAGTTGTTTCTTTGGTCTGCATTATGTAATTCACAGTGGCATGCGCTTTTTCGTGTATGCAGAGGGTTGATGGGCAGTGTTTACCAGTGGTATGTTCATACTCAGGAGAAGGCAGTGCTTGCCAGGAACCAGTGGATTGACTCCAATGGGTCTTGGTGTGGGTTTATGTGGCATGAAAATGAGGAAAGTAAAAAAAAACATATGAAGGAACTAAAGAGAGTCAAGCGGATGACAATGAGAATAACCATATTTAAAGAACTAAAGGGAAAAAATGAAGTGGATATAGATTTGTGTAATAGTAGAACATTCTTTGGTTTGGATGTGAAATACTTTGCATACCAAAGACTGTAAAATTGCTTTGGCTCAGGTTAAACCTTATCTCATGAGAAAGAAGAACCTTGGAGATCTCCACAAACTGGTTTTGGTGGGAGGTTTTATCCTTTCACATGTGATTTCCTGTTTGGTGTTCTCTTTTTGCCTAATTGGGTAAAATATCTTAAATGATTTATGCCTCAAAAGATTCAACCCATGCAGGCCAGACAGGGCCAAAAACCTTTTTAGAGTGACTCAATCAAGAAGTGATCAATATTCCAGTATATCCATTATGACAATCAACAAAACATTTCACCAGTATTTTTTCATCTCCTCAAATCATTCCTAAGAAACAATTACTAACCTTTGTTAAAATATTTGATCTCCGTCAAATACTCTTCTACAAGAAGGTTTCTTGCTAAATTTCAGTAGGATAAAGTCTTTTCAGAGACTATCTAGTAGTTTATGAATGATGTGTATGCATCATTTGCAACAAAAATTGAAGCATGAATTGGCTAGTACCAAATTATAGAAGTGAATTTGATCTGCATACATTTGAAAAAAGAAAACAATTTTGATGTTTAGGATCTTTGATAGAACTCAGAATGAGCTCAAGCATCATTGTTTTGAAACTAGTTCCTTCATATAAATGTTTTGGAATGATTGGATTAGTGATTGAGATATCAGTCAATTGAACCAAGACTTGAGAACCTGGAGTGAAGATATATGACTCAATGGAAGTAATTGTTTACTAGACTATGTGAAGCTTGAAAGGATTAATATCAATGTGAGCTTATTGTTTAGATATGTGGATTTAATATCCAAAAATTTAATCATATATTTATAGTCATTCCTGGTCAAAATTAGTATACAGGCAGAAAGTAAGAGGACAAATTAATTTGTTGTGAAAGCAAGTGGTATCTACAGATATTCCTCTTTATTTGGATTGTGCATTTATCACAATTTTCAGTTTTGGTTCAATGAACACACACAGATGATTGGAACAGATTCTGGGGTTTATCTTGCATTTTTGTAGAAAGGAAATACTTCAGAAACACATGTATGGTGAAACATAGAGGACAGCGCTTGGGTATAAAAAATTTAAGTCCAGTTCTGTAGAAATTTATCTGATTTCAAAATTATGGAAAGGTATTCTTAGTAGAACATTTCTCTATGGCAAAATCTTCAAAGTAAGTATGTTATATGAAGTTGCCTCTTATGATTGCTAACTACTTTCACCCTGCATGACATTGTAGACCGGTCTTGTGAAAAAGCAGAGTGATCTAGGCACTAGATGAAAATGCAGAAGACAAAAATCAAGTCTTTGTCACCTCTACTTCTAAATCCTCTTTTGGCAGTCCGGATGAGCCCAGATGAGTGAGATGACCAATAACACATTTTGTTCAGACACAAAACACATTTAAAAAGATTGACAAAGCATGGCTGTGAAGCTACGTATACACATAAGCTACACCAAGATTTCTAGTGGTGACACTGAAAAGATATTGAACAGATATCATTTGTGACAGGAGATGGGATTGAAAAGAGAAAAATTGCGAAATGTCCAGCGAAAAATCAACTGAAGGCAGAAAGACATCCAGATATGCACCACAGATAGCTAGGCCGTGATATTCATCCATGATGTACACCAATCACTGATTCATTCAATGAAGTACCAATTTGTGGTGACCCGGCTTGGCTAAGCTGACTTTCTCTAGCCTCGTGAGTTGGTTTTCCATACACTTTTTCAATCCTTCCTAGGTAAGCAAGGAGCATCTTCTCACTCACGCTCTTCCAAAAATATTCTCCTACAGCTGCATGTAAGGGGCTAGCAAAGGCGAAGGCGAGTTGTAAGGAGATATAAGTTGAAGTTGAACCGTCATCTCTAGCAGGAAGTTTCTTGGATGAGATCTCTTCAGGTGAGCGAAAGGTCCAAGTCGAAGTCAAGCACTTGAATAGTGGGGAGTCACCTGCGGTTGCCTATCAAGTTTTATATTTTTAGCTCACTATATTCATTCAATCAATCCGGCAGTTTAGAGAATTCACTTTGACCATTTCCCATTTTCGACACTCTACCTGACTTATGTAACGCTCTTCAAAGGCCTTGAATCCAATCACAAGCTCCTGCTGAATGAGATGTGTCTCCCCAGCGTATCCACCTTGCATCCACGGTTGGACATCTTTGTTCACCTGGTCCGTGGATTCGCTCTCGTTCAATGCTTTATGACTGATGACCTTTGATCCAAGACAATATGGTAGATATTGTGGATACGCTTCTACATCAGCGATCAAAGTGTACAGTTGTTTCTTCGAATACCTGCTCATATGGTAAGCAAAGAGAAGCATCTAATCAGTTTTTCCATGGGATCATGGCAGCCTAGTCATAGTGAAGCTTACGGTAAGCGCTTTGTCACCTCATAAATCAAAAACCCAACTCGCTTGCGATATCGACTTTGGGTAGACCAGGTATCGGCTTCGACTTTATCAACTTCGTGAGGAGTCGTTTGAGTAGAACGTGGGTCTGAAGGAAGGCTGAAAAAGCCCCTAGCCCCGCTGAGGACCGAACCATGTGGTTTGATGCCCAGATGATATGATGGTTGACCGATCCGA